TTTTTGTGTTTTTGTGTGTTTTTGTGTGTTTTAGTGTGTGTTGTGTGTGTGTGTGTGTGCGTGTGTGGTTATGTGTGTTTGTGTGTTGTGTGTCTGTGTGTCTGTGTGTGTGTGTGTGTTTATGTGTGTTGTGTGTCTGTGTCTGTGTCTGTGTGTGTGTGTGCGTCTTTTTTTCCTTTTTTTATTTGTTTATATGGTTTTGATTTATTTTTTTTTAAATACACAAAGTTAAAAATAAAAAATAAAAAATGTTGTTGTACATCTTTGAAAGATCTACAACCCTATATTTTTTATTTGTTTTTCTGTTTTTGTTTTAGCCCTTAAAAAATCTGTAATGAACCCAGATCGTGAGACAGTTGTCAACAATGCAAGTCCACAAAAATGTCCATCGGCTGATAATTACAAATAGTCAAAAATCATGGTCAGACAGAATGAGGTGAGATATCATACACAGACGAAGAGGGAGGAGGGAGAAGAGACAAAGGAGAGGAAGTAAAATGCCCACTCCTGCTTCGGGCTCCCTCCTCTACTGCCACCTCATCAGTCAATAGTCTGAATGAGTATCCAAGTATCCTCAATGTGCCACATGGCACGTCCAATCAATTCCACATCAGCATCTGGAGCAATGTCGACATGAAGACCACCAGGTACGTATCCTCGAACTCCCCACAGTCCTGACCTCCTCCTAACAGAACAGCAATACCAAATATGTAGTCCCAGTCACAGAACACGTGGACAGCTGCCACGTCAGCATGATACACGTGGCAGCAGCCACATCAGCGAAGGTGCATGGCAGCTGCCACGTCATCAGGCCAAGAAGACAGGAGCAAGCCGGCCACCATGCCGGAATAGCAGCACCTCGCCAAGTCACAATGCTAGCAGCGTCGAGCGAGCGTCGCAGCGTCAAGCCAGCGTCGAAGTCAATGCGTGAAGTCAGCATCAACGCAAGACAGAATGAATGTCAAAGCCAGGATGTCAACTCTTATGTAGTGTTGACGCGGGGTCTGGACCCCGGCTGCTGTATCCCTCGGCCGTCCAGATCTCAATGCGAATGTGGCATACTGCGTAGCCACACGGGCCCTGCAGGGCCCGTCCCGGACATTCAGCCTAAAAGCCTAAAACTTAGGGCTTACAGGCCCCGGTCGTT